CATTTATGCTAACAAATTAGTTGTGAAGGAAAATTTCTTCTCCCCTCTTCTTTATCCTAAGGTTAAATAGTGTAGATCAAAAATATCAAATTATATGGCAATCAAATTGTATCATTTACACAGATAGATAAGTTAGATATAATCAAAGACATTAAGCTCTGAAGCGAGCCTTTTATTTCACACAAATAGTTGGGACTTAATTTTTAAAGTTCTTCTTTATCTACATTCAAATACGTTAAAGGATAATCGATAAGTGATCTCAACTAGTATCTGTATTACCTTTTTAACTTCACTTGCTATATCACTCATATAACCTTTTAGAAGAAGTAAAACACTAAAAAATGTCAAAAAGTAGCAATTTGAATCCATTATTTTATTGAAGAAATTCATATTTTTGCTTTGTTTGATTTACATGCAAACTTAACCATTGATTTAAAGTCTATTATTGTTCTTTTGTCAATTATTTTTTATTTGCATTATAAGTTGGTTTTAATTTATTAGATCAAAGTTTGAATTGTTGATGCTCGTAATGAATGAAGCACCAATAATGGCGTTTACTTTTATGAACATTTCATTTTGCTCTGACTTCTCAAACTACTTTACCTCTAATACAAAAATATTAATAGGATTTGCATAAATCGGGTTGCTTCTTGTTGGATTATTTGGCTCTATTATTAAATTTCTTAAATAGATTATTAATACTATAATTTCATTTATAAAATCAAGGATGAAGAAGGAAATATCAAAACACCAATCATCTATATAATGTTTTTAGACATATCAACTTTGACTAAAATAGGATGAGATCATTTTTTTATTTTTTTAAACAAAGCTTATAGATCAAATTTTTTTCTTTTATTTCAATATACCCTAAAGATTATATTTAACCTAACTTATTAATTTAGTTTATATTAATTCGTCTTCAAATAAAACCTACTGAGGTTTAATCATCATGTACTTTAGGAGAAGCTGTTGACTAATCATCTATTTAAGGATGGTACAATTGGCAAACATTAAATTTACATATGGTTGGACTTGCTAAAACAAGCATTCATATCCAAATTATTAAAATTATATTACATGAGTTTTCCAATCTTACTTATAAATGGCTATGCCCAGTTAAAATATCTACTATAGATAGTTCATATAACAATATGATATTTTTTTTACAAATCTTTTTATAAACAACTCAAAATGAGCTCTAATTAAAAAGTACCTGAACTTTTTTGATTGATTTGTTTTATAATTTAATATTATCAAGTACAACCATAAAACTCTGGAGATATGAGCAAAATATTAATGGTGATCGCCTAAAATCTCATCAACACTATTACTTCCATTATAAGCTAATTAGGCTTAACCTAATAAATCAAGAAATGCTGATCAATTATTTATGCATTTGGTCAAATTGGGTACATTTTAGCATTTGTTTAAAATAAATGCTAAGATTGCAAAAGTATTTTTCTAAATTGCTTTGAAATTTGTTGTTATTTCTAAATTATCTCCTGTCAACTGTATAATTTTGACAACATTACAACATATAATTTTAAATGTTGAGAATCATAATTTTAACTAAACGTTATAATAATATTGCAAAAATTAATTAATAATTTAATTTTCAAATACAAAATCAACTAATTGTTAAGTCTTCATTTTTTGATGAATTTTAGCCAATCTTAAGAGCGATGCTTACAGTATTAAATATTTTTTAATTCTATATGTTCTTAATAAATAATTTCTTGATAAAAAAATTATTCAAAATAATTCAATTCAACATCCTCCTCCGAGCAACTAGGCTCAGCCGGGTCTGTAGGGGTTCATTAGACTTTAAACCTTACTTTCTTTCCCTTTACCATTTCTTGATTTCTCTAGATGTCATTGCACTCATTCTAAGACTCTTCCTTTAATTAAACAATCCGATTGGGCCCAGGGTAGACACTCCCAGAATGCTCCAATTAAGACATCATCAAGAATTTATAATAATTAATTTAATTTAAAAAGTTATTTTTCTTTAAATTCAATATTGGTAAATAAATTTAAGCCTAAGAACTTCTTTAATTTACCAAAGTAAATTGAATTTTTGCTTGTAATTTATTTTTCTTATCTAAATTATTCAACATTAATTAATATTTTCCTCATTAAATCTATTTTGCTATTATGATGTCAGATTAAAGGACCATACAATAAAGTAGGAATCATTAAAACCACATAAATTATAACATATGAGGAGGAAAACAACAAAATGATAAATTGAAGGATAATTTTAAAACAATTTTTCAATTTTACTCATTATCTACATTAAGAAAATAAGTTTACCTGATTAATAACAGCAATAATATCTTCGTCCTTCCCATAAGAAAACTCTAAATAGATGGGTGAGAAACGGATTGAACCATTTCGAAATGGAAAATTCTATGACACTTTTGATAATATAGGTAGACTAACCGCCTATATCAATTACTTACAGTAGTACGATTGAGGAAAAAACCTGTCTAATACCTTTATATTTTAAAGTTAAGCCTACCTAAGCTTCACTTATGTAATGTCATCATTTATAGACTTATGAGTGTTTGTAATTTAATCAAACAACCTTCGATGCCTTAATCTTCTATTGCTTAATTTCTCGAGTGATATTAGGAATTATAAGACCTAAAGTAGTTTGAATAACCAGTATTAAATTAAGATTACATATATGTATCTTTTAAAATGTAGATTACTTAGGAGTAGAAGCACCTTTGATATTTGGATCATTCTATCAGTTATTTCAATACAAATTTTACTTCAATCTCCTTAAAGGGGGATTGTTAAATATTTAGGTCAGTATTTTTTAAATGACTTCTGATTGACAGTATTAATTAAAAAAATAAAAAAAAAAAAAAATTGTCTAAAGGAAGATTTTTTTTAAAGTATTCCCTTCATGTGTATTCGTCTCCAAAGACTTCAGATGTTAAGGGTAATTGACTAATCCAATCAATTATATTTCTAATTTATAAATTTACTATTTTTTAAATTGAATCAATTTATTTCAGTCAATATTTGTTAAACTAATCTCGACTCTAATAGTTAATAACATCTCCTAAATCATATAACCCTTATGGTCTTTATGATTCAACTTTGAGAGTGTAGACTCTACAATATGTTCCCAATATTAAAATTATCATTGTCAAGTCCAAATTGTTCTCGAACGCCTCTTACCCAGTCAACTTATATTTCGCAATTAAATAACGTTAATTGAGAATAGTATTCTTTATATCTTTCTAACCTCATGAATATTGATTAGAAGGTTAGAATGTAAGCCTGTATATCCTTGCGGCTGGCTGTATCAATTATGTTTAATGTCAGTAACTATCTGTTTAGTACGAAATAAATTTTTTTTATAATCCATTTCATTAAGTATTTTAAATTATAATCTTTCTAGATATGCTTTAAATTACCTTATTACCTCTCTTCTTATTTAACTTATTCAATATTGGATATAACTCCTTTCATCTTAATCATTTCTTTTTCTTCTGTCAAATGTT